TTTTAAATTGAGTTTGAATTTTTTTGCAAACTGTACTTTTCTAAAGTAAAGAAAATATGTTCTGTTAAACTATTTGAAAATTTGCAATATGTAAAACCCAATTTGAAAAGAGAAATTTATGACAAAATTCAAAAAACATAAATTCTGTTAAAAAACATTTGAAAGAATTTGAACAAATTTGAGTTGAAAATATTAAAAGAAATTGAAAAAAAAGACTTTAAAATGTGAAAAAAAAATCACGTTGGAAACCTTCTTTGACTAAGATTTAAGTTTAATTTCTGGATTTTTTACAAATATGAATTTATAATAAATATTTTTTTGCTTACAACAATTATGGAATAAAACTCACTCAGAATAAAACCCAACTTAATGTTAAAGTTTGACTAACTGGAGGCACTATATTAGTGACAATGCTAAAAGTACATTTAAAACAAATGTAGCTCAACCAAACAAGATGGATAAGTTTTTTTTTTTTTTTTTTTAGAATGATTAAGATTGTATAGGAGTAAATGTGTTGGACAAAAATGAAAAGGACGTTAAAACATGCCTTTGATTCTCTGGAAGGTCTACTGAAGAACAGAACTGGAAAAATTGCATATGTCTGGTGTCAGAACAGTTCTGAGCAATTGAAACTGTGAGGATACACGGACATTAATCCAACATCATCTATTCGCCAATCAGCTGTTTGAGAGGGATGTTCTTCCTTCCATCACAAATATAAACAATGTGCCCGCTATTTGGTATTGTGGAGGATGTGTGGAAATGTGTTACTGAAAAGCCCCTAGAACCTCCTTAGAATCCATCGCCTTGTGAACCCTCTTCTCATTAGGTCTCAGGTAATTATCCAAAATGTTTAATACTCACAGAAATGGTAAATGTGACAAGATTTACAGCCTCTTCTTTATACAACTCAGTCAGGCCTAAATCCTGTATGTAAGCTGTGCCAAAGATAACTCAAATTAGGTAGATTTTTACAGAATTTTCTAATTAAAAGATGAATTGATCTCCTAATGACAAACAGCAGGTTTTAAAGAAGAGAGTTCATTCTAAATTTTTGAGAAGAACTTGGTAAAAATTTCAGGTCTTATTTGGCAAAAATACGTGGCAATTCAATTGCAATATTTCTGTAAAGGGATGCAGTAAAAAACAACTGTAACTGAGAAAGAAGGAGGTCCAGAGATGGGAGAACTGGAGTCAATAATAATCTTGTATCTTTATGTCATGTATTTGTTCTGCCCAGCCACTGAACCAGGTGAGACCAATCTACACAGGTTAAACCAGATTGGACTTACCTGGTTCAGTGGCTGGGCGGAACGTGATTTAGAGATGACCTGTTGACTCCAGTTCCAACATCTCTGGACGGAGCCACATTAAGAAGAATTGAGAAAGGTGGAAACTCACCACTCTCTAATCGCTGCTTCCTCTTTAGTGTTCAGATGACGTTTATCTCCTTTTCCAAGCTTTTGTTCCCTTTCTTCGTTGCTTTAGTCCTCATCTAGCACATGGTCAGGTAACTTTAGCTTCGACATGAGGGGGATAACTGAATATCCCATTCAGATTTGTTGGTCAAATTTGCAGCTGTCGTTTCTCATTTGTGTCCCTCATAAGGTTGGAGTTGGCATAAGGGGAAACGACCACCGTTTTTTTTGTCTTACTGTGTCGCTCAGGCCACAGCTCTGATTCTGTCATTATCGGACAGCTACAGAGTGACGGAGGGAGGGTCCGAAAGGAGGGTTTGCAGGGAGGCATTAAATGCTTTTGCAGCTGCTTCTATTGCAAGCCACCCCTCTAAAAATACCAACAGCTTTCATGACGAAGGGTCAGATAAAGTTAGGCTCTCCATTCAGAGACTGTGCCACTAAAGATAGGAGGAGGCCAGAGGCCTGCATTGGATCACTCAGCTCAAAAGATATCCTTAGCTAAACATCGTGTTAGAAAGAACAATCCGCTTGTTGGACTTCCTTCAGATAGTAATCACAAAGATCCCAGAAATAGTTTTACATTTTTATCACATTATCATTGCAGCAGTTAAGTTTAGCTATTAGGCTGAGTTTAATCATCTGAATAAGTTTAGCAACATAAAACATCTATTTGAGTCATATTAAAAACAGTATTCTCACAGTTTCTTAAAAGCCTTAAAAGTTTGTGATTTTGAAAAAAGAAATCATGCAAAGCAGAAAGTTTTTTGAAAACAAAAAATAGACAGCCATCTTTGGACGTCCCTGAATGTTTTATGGGGTTTGACATTTCACAAGGATACATAGCGCTGTCAATCTGTTGTTATTTTCTCTTATTAGAGAAAATAATGTCACTAATGTAGGCGTGGCAAAGTGCACCTGAGTTCAAATTACGTCAGAGTCAGCTTAGAGCCTTTCACAATGGCTTTGTCTGGAGAAACCCTCAAACAATTCTTATCTGTACTGCTTGCAAAAGTGAACTGCCTTGCTCACAAGACAGACCCTTTAGGGGGAGTGGTGGCCTAGTGTTTAGGGCATTGCACTTGGGTCCCAGAGGTTCTGAGTTCAAATCCAACTCCCACAGACTACCACTCTGTGTCCCTAAGCAAGACCCTTAACTCCACACTGCTCCCCAGGTGCCGCACAATGGCAGCCCACTGCTTCTCTCCTGATGGGTTTGATGAGCATGGTTCTCTTCTGAATATAGTTTTAATCCTTTTAGGAAACTAAGAAGTTTCAAAGAAGTTTACAAAGGACAAGGCTTTGTGAAGAATGACAGAATCGTTGGTATACGTCACATGTATCTTTCTCTTCTGCATCAGTATTATAACAGAGAAGGACCGTGTCCCTCGTGTTGAACACTTCCTTCCTGCATTCTCAGACAACTATTCTTTAAGCTATCGCTTCAAGTGTGTTTCAGGCAGTGGAGACAGCAAACTGTCGTCAGAGTTCTCCGACCTTCATAACAGGTCACATAGCTTCACTCCCACTGGAAAAATCCTCCTAATCTGGTTGGAATGCCATACTTAAAATATGGAAGCAAAATAAAAAGTAGTTCTTCATCTTTTGCTTAAAATATGTTTTAATCATAACAACTGCATTGGTTCTATTTTCAGTTTCTTTATCATTGTCATTCTTGCTTAGAGGGACAACTGCGTCACCGATGTGAACGCCAGGGTCGTTCTTTGTCATGAGATCGGGTTCCAGTCCAAAGGGCTAGAAAGGATTTCTAGAGACTATACTGTAAATAAAACATGGCTAAAGAAGTACCTCGTAGGTCATAGCTATCCCTCTGTTTTTTTACACTCAGCTAAAAGTAAAGAGACCATTAAGTCCCTGGATTTTGTTGAGTTGTCGTGGTTCACAGTGCTGTATGGAGATCTGGGATAACACATGTGGACTGGGATTCCCTGGAGGCTATCCCAGTTTTTTTTTTAGAAAGCAGATTGAAATGTGAGTTCCAACTGTTGCAGTTCCACCTTCTTGAGAAATTGTACTCCTGGGCTGGGCCTCATCTTTGGCCCTTTGAAATATTTAATTTAGCGTCAACAAGAACTGAACGATGGTACAAATTTGTTCTATCAGGCGGTTAAAGATTATAGACTCTGCTTGTGAAACTGTGTCCAAATATGACCATGGTTAGGATCTTAGATGTTTCTGTAGTGAAAAAGGGCCAACATGTAATACTGTTTCTCTTTTACTGAATTATGTGATTCTGTTGGGATCTTCATACTTTCAAGTTCAGTTTCTTTTGATCTTGATTGCAGCGGAGTGGGAATCATCCTTTTAATACGTGTAAAGCTGATTACAGCTAAAGTTTTAGTACTTCTTCCAGGTCACAGTTCAGAATCAGTCAATCGTCTTCCTGATTAATGGTATTAGAGAGTCTGAGATGGACGGATTGGGGTCTCAGAGCTTACAGCCAACCAAACCAGTGCAGGAGTTGTGTCCACTGTTAGGAATCTAGTTTGTGTTGGGTTATTTGTGTGTTTCTTATCTCTTCACCACCAGGTTGTGCCCTGTCCTCGTTGGGCCTCCCTGCACACCTGCAGCTCAATGGTTCATTACTGGAGGAGTATTTGAGCAGTGGACTGTCACTACCTTGACGCCAGAGTGTTTGCCAGTTTTGGGTACTCTAGCCAAGCTGAGATTAGCAGAGTCTAACCTGAGCTTTGTTTCTCTGTGGTTTTTGTCTTTGTTCTTCAGTAGGAAGTCTTCCTGTGTAACCTGATACCTGGACCTTCTCCCCCTGGAAGGATTTACTGAGTACACACTGAGCAGGGGAAAACCTCCACGTGATCTGTTCAAGTTCCCATCAGAAATCCAAGTGACAGTCCGCTCCATTACTCCTCCTGGTCCAGCGTATGTCTACCTGTCCAGCCTCCGATGAGTTCCCTCTTCTTTGGATAATCCCACACAGACATCCAGTCTGTGTGGGATTATCCAAAGAAGAGGGAACTCAAGGATTGACAAGAGCCCCCTCAAACGTGAGTCCCTCTCCAGTATAATTCAAGCTTGTGATCTCCCATTCAGACTTTCCAGTTCCGGTTCACCAGTTCACTGAGTTCCAGATCCAAGCTCTGTATACATTACATCAAATTAAACTTTTTCCAGTGTTCTCTGAGTGGTTTCTCTGCATGTGGGTCAGATTCCTTAAACCAATCATGACATCCACATTCTCACCAGTAGTTATTCCCTGTTGTCATTAATCCAGTTTGTGTTGCTCAAAGTCAGGATCTTAGAGGTTTTCATGGTGAGAAGGGTGCAATCTACAATTTTGTTACTTTTTTGTGGATGATATGGTTCTGTACTCATACCCGTCATGTTCCGCCTCTCTAGGACCGAGGTGTGGTGGTAGCAGCCTCAGCAGACTCTCACAGACTTCCCTCTCCCTAGGCACCTCCTCCAGCTCTGCTGGGGGAAGACAGAGGCGTTCTAGAGCCAGCTGAGTGAGATTCAGCATGTCCTGGGCAGTCCCCTGGGTCTCCTCCCAGTGGGACATGCATGGAAAACTCAGCTTCAAGCTTTTCTCAGATGCTTGTAATCTTACTCTTCCAGCCATGATTCAGATTTCATGACCATAGTTGAGGCTGAGTACATAGAACGACTAGTAAGTCAAAGCTCTGCCTTTTGGCTCAGTTCTTTCTTAACCAACAGAGCAGCACAGCGTCCACATTATAGAAGCAGCCAAACCGATCCATTGATCAACCTTGTACTTTCTCACCTCACTCATGAACAGGACTCAGAGATATTTGAACTCCTCAAATTGAGAAAAGAACTCTCCTTCTCTTGACAACTTTATACTTAAAGTTCAGAATCATATAAACTGGTTAGTGACCAAGTATGAATCATCCTGTAAGTACATAAGAGGCTGAATGGAGGCTGAATGGAGCTGAGGTTTGGCTACTCCTTCCAAGTCCAAGATGAACAGATGGTCAATTTCCAACTTCAAGCAACAGCAGTGGTTTTAAGATGTATATTAAATAGATAGGAGATAGAAGTGATTAAAATGAACTTTCACCAAGGTGTAACCTTAAAGGAATAGTACACCCAAAACATGATTAGCCTTCATTTTCTACTCACCCCCATGCTGAACAACAC